GCAATTAGTGAGTGGAATGGTTAAGCCAGGACAACACTGTCCAAATGGGCACGTATGGGCTCAAACAGGAGACAGGACAGAACAGAGTTAAGGCCAAATTGAGGAGAAATTTAATATCCACATTAAAGAGTTTAGGCAATGAGGTAATGATGGGCCTCTAAAGGTTTCTGAACTAAAAAGTAACACCGTGAAAAGACTGCTTTAAGAAGATCATTTCACAGTGAATATTCTCAATATCTATTAAGGTTTCTTTGCCTCTTAACCAAAAATTCCAAAATCTAATTATATAGTTTGGGTCTTTATTTGCTCTGTATCTGTATTTAGATGCCTTACCATATCACCAGAAACTCATCATCTTGCCTCCAAAATCATTTCCCATACTACATTCCCTAACTTTCCCAGCATCCATACGTCAGCCTTCCTTATCTTCTATTCCTTTCCTTCTTCCGTTTCTCTCCTCCCTCCTTCCCTTCCTTTCTAGACACAGGCAATCATCAATTCCAACTGAACTCTCCTTTATAGTCTTGAGAATCTACTCATTGAGATATCTACCAACAATTCCCCATTTCAGGCATTTCTGCAATGGAGAGAAGAACTGGCATCCCTTTAGCCAGTATTTTTGGCATCCAACTCATACTGCACACAATGCCTCTTGACACATGTTTTCAAATACCCCACACCTCATGTTTCTGTCTTCCAGGCTCTCTACTCTTTGCCTGGAATGGCTGGTCACCTCTCTCAGCCTGGGAAGGCCATAACTTTCTTTTCAGATCCAGCTTAAATTCAAGGCACATTCTCTAGGTATTTAGGCACTCTCTCCTCCATACTCTCAGGACTCCTGATAAATACTCTTATTAACAGTGGGTATTTTTTACTGTGACTGTTCTGTGGCACTCTCCCCAGTTAGACACTAGGACACTATAAGGTAGAGATCATGTCCTGCTTATCTGTATCCCAGCATCCAGCATAATACCCAGCCCAGTGAAGTTAACACATATATTTGCTGAATTAAAGAAACTGGATGATGTCTTAAGTCAAAAAATAAAGACTATTCCCCTGGAAGCTCTCCCTATCCAAAGACCTACCCAACTTCGTCACTCAATAAACATTTCATTAAAACACTTACACACAGTATTTAACAAGGTGTTGGTGATCTGGGCCTATCTACAAACTCAACCTGATATATCACTCACCACTATGTACATTGTTTTCAAGAACACTCAACTATCTGTAGGTCTCTGGACATCCTCTCTTACTCCTCCCTGCCTCTATACCTGCTGTTTTGTCTGCTCGGGAGTCTTTCCGACTGCCTGTCTACCTAGGAAATTTCTATTTATTCAACTTTTGTCTGGTTGCTGTCTCCTTAGTAAAACCGGCTCTGACTTCTTTCTTTTCTGATCTCCCTAGACCCAAGAACACCTCCCTCACTGCACTCATTACTTTATGCTGGATCAGTTTTTTTCTTTATCTGTTTCCACTACTATTTCGTAAACTCCCTGAGTATCAAACCCTGTTGTGTTTATCTCCGTGTTCCCAATGCTCAGCCTCAAGGCCTAGAGGAGGGGAAGGAGAGGGAAGAGAAATAACAGAAGTAGCTGACATTTAAAAGCACCTACGTTACCAAGCATTGTTTCTAGCACATTACACTGACTACTTCTTTAAGTACCTCTTCCTAGTATGCCTATTTCGTGGTAAAACTAAGATAACAGAAAGGTTAAGAATTTGCAAATCTAGTCCCAAGTGTAGTAAGTAAAGGAGCCGGAGATCTTAATCCAGGTGGTATGGCTATCCTTTGGTCTATTGCCTTTCTGGAATGGTGTCAGCAAACTTTCTCTGCCAAGGAACAGATGGCAAATATTTTAGATTTTGTGAGCTATTTAGACTCTGTCACAACTACTCAACTCTGCTTTTGCAGTGCAAAAGTAGCCACAGCCCATATATGGCTGTGTTCCAGCAAGAGGCTATTCTACAAAAACAGGTGGTAAGTCTGATTAGGACTGTAAGCCAGTTTGTTCATCTAGAAATTCAATAAATGTTCATCAAATTAAATTGGATCTAATGATGTTGGGAACCAAAACCTTCTCCCTGCCCTCAAGGAAAACTTTTTCCCTTATCATATCCTAAAGCCCTCAGCAGTTGCAGCCTTTAAGCCTTTACTCGGCAGGCAAATCCACTGTAGGCACTCAAAAACCAGTTTCAGAACTGAAGTCAATGGGATGGACATGGGGCCCTGATCTTTGTGCTAAGCTCCCACCCCTGAACTCCACCTCAAGAGACTGTTGGATCTTAGCCAGATGTCCCTGCCCCCAGCAATGAAGTCTCACAAATAGATAACCTTTACTTCTAAGAAGAGAAGCTACTCCAAGGTTCTAGCCTGTACCTCCAACCCTTACCTGGCCTCCATCTGAGGTTTCTCATGTTATCAGTATAAATACAATATTACCGGAAACAGTAGGCAAACAGAAAAAACTTCCACACTTAAGTGGGCCACAAGTTTCAACCCTAAGCAGTGAAGACTTCTTGGTGTTCCAGAATGTTGTTCCACAGCAGTCATGAGCACTGCTCTAACCTAGATCTTTTTATGTAAGTAGTATAATAATGAGAAAAGTAGGTATGAAAAAAAAAGGATGAGAAAAAGAGGAGCTTATTGAATTGTAAATTTCTTTTTTTTTTCACTTCCCTTCAGTGACATAAACCCCACCCTACAAAAGAACCATTTGAATTGACATATACACACTATTACATATAAAAGATAACTAATGAGAAGCTACTGTATAGCCCAGGGAACTCTATTCAGTGCTCTAATGACCTATATGGGAATGGAGTCTAGAAGAGAGTGGACATATGTATATGTATGGCTGATTCGCTTTGCTGTACGGCAGAAACTAACACAACATTGTAAGTCAAGTATACTCCAATAAAAAACATTAATTTGAAAAAAAAAGAACCATTTGCTTTATATTTCACAATATTTTGACATCCTATTGGAACTGAGCAGAACCCTGCAGTACCCTCCTCCCCCCCATTACAAAACCAAGAAGTTAATGACTAGGACAATAGAGTCAGAGACTCAGTGTCTGATGTACATTCCTGAGTTGTTTCACAGATACTACAACTGTCACCAGAGAAAACAGCTAACTGCATGGTGGCCAGCTGTAGCCATGACATAAGCTACTCCAACTTGAGCAGTACTGAGTCTATCGCTAGCACAATTCCAAGAACTGGCCTCAAGAGAACGGGATTAACATTATTGCTCATAATAATATATATCTTTGTGGGCATCAAAATAATTGTGGTTTGCTCTGCCTATATATGTAAGCGGACAACTAAAATTGTCAGCAACGAGATGCTATAGACCCATGATGACACCTTCCACTCTGAGAATACAGCACCCTATGTCAGAATGAAGAAGGTACAGAAGATAGACCTTCACCCCTAATCCCATAGAAATGGAATGATGTTCTGATAAGTGGGGATATGTAAGCAGCTCTTTGCAGGAAACCACCCTCAGCAGGAAGCCCCTGTTCTTGTCACTTTAGCAAAGTTATATTGTAACTAACTCTTAAACCAGGCAGGCCCATGCTCTACTCATCTCAGGCCCAAGCACACCTTTCAAATCTTTTAATGACGCAAAACCCTGCCTAACTTCTTGGTTCTTTCCATCGATCAAAGTAGAAATGAAGAATAAGTAATTAGCAGATGACCAGATCTCTTCCCTAGCTTCCCCTTCAGTAATCTCCTGATCAAACTGTGTGAACAAGATAACATCTAGAGGAAGATCAGGAGGGGTCAACAAGCCTGCACACAAGCCTGCACGCGGTGAGGGATGGCAACAACTCTGACCCCCATCTCAATGATTAACTGGGATTACTTTTCTGTTTCCCTTTAAAAGATTTCATGGCCTAGCAAAATCTTCGGAGATGTTTTTTGTTTGTTTGCTTGTTTGTTTGTTTGTTTTGCGGTACGCGGGCCTCTCACTGCTGTGGCCTCCCCCCGTTGCGGATCACAGGCTCCGGAAGCGCAGGCTCAGCGGCCATGGCTCACGGGCCCAGCCGCTCCGCGGCACGTGGGATCTTCCCGGACTGGGGCACGAACCCGTGTCCCCTGCATCGGCAGGCGGACTCTCAACCACTGCGCCACCAGGGAAGCCCGAAGATGGTTTTTGAGGGATGCTGAGTCCACCATTTCCCCAGATTGCCGGCATTCTGATTAAAGGCACCTTTCCTTTCTACCAGCATTTGTGAGCACATAATTGATTTTGTAAGCAGAGAGCAGCGGGACACGATTCGTTCCATAACGCTATGAAGTACATGTCCTATTATCCATTATCTTCAAAACAGGCAATCACAGAACTAGAAACAAAGTATACCAACTGCATGACAAGGATCATATATGCTGCTCATGGACACTCAGACCAGAGAGGTTGTTAGTATAATATCCCGATTTAATTCTAGTGAGAAATACTTTGTTGTTGAAATTCACCGAAGAAGGTAACATAACTTATCCTAGGTGCTACAAGATGCTTCCCAACAGAAAAAAAAATTTTTAACAGCAAAATAAACTATAAACGTACATTTAAAATATTATTAGATCATCACTTTGGTTTTTGACCCCTAAACTGAGTTGGGCTCACATTTGGAAAAGTGCATGACGCTGCCAGTGAATTTACCCTACCCACTGTAATTCTGTGGTTGCCATAGGCCAGAGAGGGAGAATTACAATGGTGAATTACGAACTTCTTGAGGGCAGGAAGTATGTATTATTCACCTTTGCCTCGCCAGAAAATCTGGCATATAGCAGACCAGGAAATGTTTGTTAATAAATGAATGAATGAATTTAATGAAGCCAAGAATCTAGATAATTAAGTTTGCCGAAACACATATGTTCTCCAAATTCCTTCAAGCATGCTTCAAAATCAGTATAATCCATAGGGACATTGGAAACTTTCCATCTGTGAGTGGGGAAACAACCCATGCCCTTATTTTCTCCAGCAGACTCACCGTCTTGAGTGTTTGGACTCAGGATTTGGGTCTTGAGTTCCTGCAGGCTAATTCCCAGACACCTGCAGATCTCCTTGGGGCTATAGGGTTCAGAGTGAAGGGTATCTTCTGTGATCAACAACATTTCTTGCAGACTGACCCCCAGCTTGGCCTGCACCTCCTCCAGCCGCAACACTTCCTCCCATGGCAAGCATTTGTGCTTAGCCAGCAGCTGCAAGTTCAAACCAAGAGAATGGTCAGTTTTCATTTCAGATATTGATATGCACTATTTTAATGAGCCAGATTCAACTTTAAGCTTTTTTGTTTCCATTCAACCTATCCACAATTCCCACCATTGCTTGAAAATGCACGCTCGGTTCAGATGTTTGAAATTAAACATGCTTGTGTGACACTCACAGGCTAGTTGCGTATTTTTCCTAAAAAAACTAATCCTCCACTGATTTTTTTTGCCTGTCACCACTTTCCCTCAGGGCTATTTCTCTGAATAATTTTGTCCTTTTGTCCCTATTCAGTTCATCCCCAATACACCACTCTCTATAAAGTCTACAGAAAACTATTCAAATCTCACATGATCTGGGTCCTGAGGTGGGCACTGCATGCCCGATTTCATTTGAGCACTTCCTGTTTACAACATGCCTCTTTGAAATGGCTAATGAATTTAAGTATCTGGGCGTTTGGAGTCAAGTCCCAGATTTTAAATGAAAACCTCATTGGTGACCTTACGAAACACCACTGCATTAGGTCATTGGTGGTAGTAGAGCTGTATGTTTCTCCACCCTCAAGAAAAGAGTTTGGCTTCCAGTTGCATCCTGAGGCACCCCCTCAATCTACTGCAGAGGGTGAGATATAAACCAAACCTTTGTAACCTGGTCCACTCATGGGAACCTCACTCCAGAATGTGTGTCCCTCATTTTTCCCAAACTACCCTTCGGAGCAGGTAACAATCAAAACGGTGAAGGTATCTCTCACCCTGAGGTCTACAAAATTCATTCCCCAGGTGTGAGGACCGCAGGTGCAGACAGCACAAATGGCAAAAAGAAGCAAACAAAAGAAGGGGAAATGTGCATCTGATTTACTCTTCTATTATGCTGATGATTTGATTTTCTTTCTTTTTCACAGGAAGCAGATTTACCAAAAGACCATTGTACTTGGTTAGGGCCTCTCACTTCTGAAGAATGTTAATAACAGTAGTTCTTATATTCATTAATCCTCTTTTTAAAACTCTGGCTCATACATTTGAAAGGAGTTAATGATTTTAAGGCAGAACTGGTGAAAAAGACAATAGAATTACATTTTTCTGTCCAGTTATTTCACAGAACATGGTGCCATTTTTTTTTTTTTTTTTTTTTTTTTTTGCGGTACGTGGGCCTCTCACTGTTGTGGCCTCTCCCACTGCGGAGCACAGGCTCCGGACGCGCAGGCTCAGCGGCCATGGCTCACGGACCCAGCCGCTCCGCGGCATGTGGGATCTTCCTGGACCGGGGCACGAACCGGTGTCCCCTGCATCGGCAGGCGGACTCTCAACCACTGCGCCACCAGGGAAGCCCCATGGTGCCATTTTTAAAGCAAGGCTACAAGCTAAGACCTTTCTTCTGACCTTGTTTGCTTAGCACATTTAATGTTTATTAGCAGTGCTAGATTGACACCTCCATAGACTAACTCATTCATTCATTCAACTCATTCATTCATGGTCTCTATGCCAGTGTATTCCAAAAATAATTTCAGAAAACTTATAGACATACACAAAACAAAAGAAAAACATACAATATATTTATTTTATACAGAAAAAGAGCTGAAGTGGATGATCTCCTAGAATTACACTTCCTCGAAACACAGATCCAAATCCAACTGAGGTAAACAATGAAGTTAACAGAAATAATTCACACTTGTATAGCGCTGTGTGATTTAAACGTGCTTTTTATTTCTTTTCAGCCTTGACAGCTCTGTGAGATAGGTATTATTACCCTATTTAAGAGATGAGAGTGACTTGCCCGAAGTCACCTACCTAGTAAGAACAGAGTTGGAAATTTAACCCGTGTCCTGTACCTCTTTCTTGCTTCCCCAAGGCCACATTCTCAATGGGCTATGCTTGATATCCATGTCACACTACTCATTTTAGCTCAAATCACCACTCAAGTTTTAGAAATGGTTTCTAAATACAAACTAAGTTTTGTGTTAGAAGTGAACATTCCAGTGATTTAAAACACTTTGATAGATGGGTTCCTTCTAAAATAAGAAGGAAATGGAAAAAAAAAATCAAAGAACGACCCCCAAGTGATGAGAATGGGCTCTTCCTAAGAAACTTGCAGTAAACACCATCTCCAAGTTCCCAACCCTGACCTCAGGTGAACAAGTCACTTTGCCTCAGGCACTTGATCCCAGGAAACTGGCCCAGGACTGTGTGGGGAGAAAGTCTTCGAGGGTTGCCTGCTGCCTACAAAGCTGTTTTCAAAGGCAGCCTCCCAATGCACTTTTGTTCCACAAACAGAGGCACTAACATTCAGTCTAGCAATATCCCAGTTTGCTGTTCCACCCCTTAGCTCTCAGCTGGAGGGTCCACGTGGCCAATTGGGTGTGTATTTCAATTAAGAATGAAACCTACCACAAGCCCTCAATGACAGCTGCACAGCCATGAGTCGCTGAGTAGTGCACTACATTTTAGGAGTAAAATCAGAAAGCTGCTTAAGCCCTTTAAAATTTGGCCCAGGAAACAGAAAGATGACTTGCAGATGAGGGAAGTGGGTGGGTAAGATCTGTTGCCCAAGACAGAACTTCATGAGGGCATTTGCCACTCACAGCCCTGTCGCCTGGCCCTACTTCACATTTGTGAAGCAGGGCTAGGAGTCAGGGCTATGGGTCATTTTGTGACAAGTTCCTCACTCAGCAGCAGGGTAGGGATATACGAGAAAGCGATTCTTTGTCAACATCTACCATTTTCTTTTCACCACTATAAACATTAGGTGTTTATTTCCGATTCCATTCCTGGGAGGTTCCTGAGCCTGGCTGATGCTCTGTGGACAAGAAAGCAGGCAACGAATATTTTGTCCACAGTCATGGAAAGATGTAGATAAATAGTGCTAGGACCCTGTCTTAGGTTGGTTTCTCTCAGAAGCAGGCCGTGAGACAAGAATTTAGGGGGAGAGGGAGATACAGAGAAGTGCTGGTAGAGGCGTCTTAAATGAGACAGGAAGAGAAGCCAAGATGAAGTGCAGTGATGTGAGAGGTGAAGCGGGGCCTGCTGGACCCTCTGGGACCTGTATGTATAAAGCTCGGATGTGTCCTACGCATAGACAAGAAAGCTCAGATATTTACCCGCTAACTCTCATCCACCATTGATTGAGGGCTGATTCCAAGGGTGTTAGCTCCCCAGACTTCCAGGCTGTCTCATGTGCAAACTCAGCGTTCTCCTGCAGCTAGAAGACATCTTCAGTCTGAGAGGGTCTCTGGGGCTTCTATTAAGAGGGTGTGGTAGGAGAGTGCTAACATATGGACTCGAACTCAGGAGGCTGTCTGTCAGAACCCACCTCTCTCTGACGTTCTCATTGCATTTTGCAGTATTAACAAGTCAACGGAAAAGTGTCAAGTCTTTCTCCTCACCAGCTCAGCAAAGGATAAAATTTCAAATCCCTTCTCTGACAAGCTGTTTTCCACACAACAAAAGCAGCTGTGTTGTTGTTGGTTTGGGTTCTATAAATCACCCACGCTTATTTTTAAAATTTGAAGAAACACATAACAATTTGAAGTTTAAAAAAATTACAAAGTATAAAAGAAATCACCTGTAATCATCCCAATAAGATAACCACCAATCTCCCAACTGATATCCTATGATACATTTTTTATGCATACTTCTTACACACGTACACACATACAGTTTGACATAAATGGGATCATACATAACTGTTTTTATCGTGGATACTTTTTTTTTTTTTTTTTTTTGGCTTATCTCCCCCTCACCCTCCTCCAACTTCGTGGAGCCATTCCACAGTGACTTCATGCCCATGTTCCGCTCATAATCATCATGAACACATTCACAATGTTGACCTTCCCCAGTGCTGGTCATCCCCACTCTCCACGTTCTCCAAAATTCTCCTGAATTTTCCCGGTTTCCCTCTCACCTCTCTGGTCCTTACATTTCCACCCATGACTCAGTTTTCTCCTTTCATTATTATTGAAGCCATCTCCCAAATTTAAACCCCGGCCTTCTGCTCTTCTCTTGCCACATTCTCTCCCTCAGCAAACTGAACTCAGTCCTTGGTTTCAACTATTATCTCAAAATAGTTGAAAGACTATTGTCCAAGCCAAGTGAAACATTCCAACCTCAAATTTCTAACCACTTATAAGAAAATTCCATGGGGAAGTATCATCACCTCCCACTTTCATATCACCTTCCATCCTACCTTCCCCATATCTATGAGTGCTTTCCACCCATCATTTCAGCTTAAAACTACAGCCCTTTTCGACTCAACACTTAGCCTTTACCTGCACATGTCTGCATGCCATGCGTGTTCACTGCAGGGTATGAAGCACTCATGGCTCCTGACTGCATGGAGCTCAGAGTCAACCCGAGGAGACAGGCATCAATTAATAATTATATAGTGAAGAACTTACTCCATTTGTGATAAACTACTATAATGGAAAAATATAGGATGTGGCAAGAGCATATAAAAGGGCATTTAACATAATGGAAGTGGGGAGGGTGGTCATTCCTCAACGTAATGGCATTTAAGCCAAAAGGAAGACAGACACCCAATCACAGAGAGCCTTATACCTGACCCTTTACTAGGTTCTGTCAGAGATTCTTTCATATCCCTCTCTTGTTATCCCGTCCCCCCTGACACTTTAAGACCCACTTCTCTTCAACCAAACAAAAGTTCCTGCTGCCAGCTTAATATTTCTAGAATACCTTGCTAACATTTGCACTTCCAGGACCAAGCCTGGGTGATCCTCAGCACAGCACTCAAGGTCCTGCTACACCTGGTTCCACTATTCCCCAGTGTGTGTGTGCTCTGCCCTGCAGCCAGGACTCACTGTCCTGGGATACTCCACACCAGTATCCTGGCAGAGTGAGCTCAACTGAATCAATAGGCTGAGTGAAACTGGCTACATTCCTGGGTGTTTGGTTTTTCTCCACTCAAATTCAAGAAAACTGCAGAAGCCCTGAGAATATTATACCACTTCTCCTCACCAGACAAAGAATAAGCTCCATATTGACCACTAAGTGGCAGGAGCTAAAAAAAAAAAAAAAGAACTGGATGAGTGCTGGCCACTAACCAGACACACTCTGTAAAAAATCACACTGTAAATTTTCCTTGAAGCGTCAAAGGACCACATGAAACCCTCTCCTTCATTGCTGCACATGTTGCCACAAGAAGCTCAGGGTATGCAAAATGCAACAGCATAATTTCCCTTCCCTTTTTGACTTCCCATAATACTTATTATCAGCATCACACATTTTATCCCTCAATATAATTAAGGGATACTCTTTTTTATAGACATAAGGCAATTCTGGAAAAAAAATTTTTTTTAATTTGTTTATTTTTGGCTGCATTGGGTCTTCGTTGCTATGCCTGGGCTTTTTCTAGTTGTGGCGAGCGGGGGCTACTCTTCATTGTGGTGCATGGACTTCTCATTGTGGTGGCTTCTCTTGTTGCGGAGCACGGGCTCTAGGCGCGCGTGCTTCAGTAGTTGTGGCTCGCAGGCTCTAGAGCACAGGCTCAGTAGTTGTGGCGCACGGGGTTTGTTGCTCCGTGGCATCTGGGATCCTCCCAGACAAGGGCTCCAAATCTCTCTCCTGCATTGGCAGGCAGATTCCTAACCACTGTGCCACCAGGGAAGTCCCCCAATTCTGGAAAAGCTTAAGCCACTGAATATGTATAAAATATGAAAAACTTTGTGCTCATTAAAGATTTCTGGCTACTTTGTTAATTTAAGAACATAAAAATGTGCTTCACTTAAAAGACTCATTTGGTGGTGGGATGAACTGGGAGACTGGGATTGACATATATACACTAATATGTATAAAATGGATAACTAATAAGAACCTGCTGTAGAAAACAGTAAAATAAAATTCAAAAAAAAAGAATCATTTACGCAAATAATAATTATAAATCTCTATTGTGTTTGCCTTGAAATGTTTTAAATTTTAGTTCAAATGCCTCTGCAAGACTCTGACTTTTAATGAATCTGCATTAATTAGTTTGGGGAAGCTGTTAGAAAGAGAGGAGCAGGGAGGAAGAGAGAGAGAGGGAGAGAAAGGAGACTTAAGAACAGAAGAAACTACCAACATTAAAGCAAAACAAAGAAAAATCATCTTCATTGGTTTAGTGTACTTCCCTGTGCTAAGTAGACACAAAAGGTACTCATTTTTCAAAAAGGTACCTTGGGGAAATAGGAGGAGAGGAAAAATAAGTGTTATTTATTACAATTTTTCCATGTGGAGCTCTACTTAATCAGAATCATTTTCAAAACTATCCTCAGGGCTTCCCTGGTGGCACAGTGGTTGAGGGTCCGCTTGCCGATGCAGGGGACACGAGTCCGTGCCCCAGTCCGGGAGGATGGGCCCGTGAGCCATGGCCGCTGAGCCTGCGCGTCCGGAGCCTGTGCTCTGCAACGGGAGAGGCCACAACAGTGAGAGGCCCGCGTACCGCAAAAAAAAAAACAAAACAAAACAAAACAAAAATCCTGATCTGTCATTTCTCCACTAACACTTCATTTTTATTGTCTGAAAGCAGCAAGTTTATTCAGATTAAGACAAGCTTCTTTAATTTTTTTACGAGTTTATTTCCTGATTTAATGAGACCATTTCCAAACAAAAATTATATTCATTCACACATTGCTGAAAACGGAAGAATGGCACCATACTGTAATTAAAATAAGCTTAGCAGAATTCCAGCCTATATTCCCTAGGCAAGAGCATATTCTTGGCATCAAGATCTATCTGCAGAGCCTATATTAGCAGTTTTATCTTTATTTCCCTTTTGTATATAACCTTGGATTCTCATGATTTGCAGCAACGTGATTTAGAAAACATTCTGCATCTTGATAAAGGCTTTCAATTTTCTTTCTTCCATATTTCAAAAGAGAGAAAAATTCAGAGTACTTAAAATAATGTATTTTATCTACATCAAGTGGGAGGAGTGTGTGGTAAAAAGCCAATTTCACTGACCAAAGTACCTCTAAAATGCACATGGAGTTATACAGTTAAACTCAGAAGACAGCCTCAAGAACAAAAAGTTCTGCAGCGGATTAAGGTTTTCAGCTACTGCTCCAGAAAGAGAAGCCCTTTTTCTAGTTCACTCCCAAAAGACACCTCCCTCTCCCAGCCTGACAACTTTCACTACAGAGCTTCAGCACCACAATTTTATTTCTCATTTTCTTCTTGCATCTTTGGAAAAGCGTCATTACAATATGAACCCATTTCACACATCTCATACTTGTTTTGGCTCACCTATGAGTCTCATAAATGATATCTAATTTCGTGATAAAACTCTGAAAACAATGTTGTGTACGTTTGAGGTCTCCTCAGGAAGGCAGCACTTACTCATATACCTCAAAATAAAAAGTCAACAAGAATAAGCCCTTAAACAAATAAGACACTAATTTCTTCCATCTCCTGAAAGAACAAGTTTGCCCTAAGAGGGAAAAACATTCACTGAAGCCTTTGACATTGAAAAGTTTACTGCACTACTTCTTCTCATATATGCACTGATCAGAAGAGTTTAATATTGAAACATTTCTTTCATAGAATTTTTAGAAATTATCTGAATAAGTAAATTACATATTTAAAACACTTAAATCATGATTTAAAAAAATGTTTAACACTAAAATTTTCCAGAAAAAAAAAAAACTTTTATTTTCTGGCTCATCCATTCCCAACTTCACAACTTCAGGGGATGGGAGTAAGGGGCAAAGTGGTAGGTCAGCCCAAGGGATAACTACACCTTACCCAGCTCCATGGTATCTAGTTCAGTGCTGGGCACACCCTATGCACTTGTAAAAAACTGTGAAATTGAGCAAAATAAATATGACAGGGCAGGTAACCCAGGGAATAGTTGTTCATTTATTCAACACATGTTGTGTGTTGCCTGTGCCTACTTCAGCCTAAGCACTATACCAGGCCTTAGGGATATAAGAGTTAACAAGATGGACAGTCTTGGCCCTCAGGTAAAATCAAGTCAGAAAGAAGAGACAGACATCAAACAACTGTGATAAGTATCATACCTGAGAGGTGCAAGTGCTATGAAATACAAAGAGAGCCTCACCTTAGTCTGGGAGTAAGGAAGTCAAGGAAGGCTTTTCTGAGGGACACTTAGGCTGAGACTTCATAGAGGGCTGGAGCAAGAGCATTCTGGGCATGTACAAGTCCCTGCGGTGAGAATGAGCATCATGGCTAGAGTGTAAAGGGACTGAGGGATGCTAAGAGAGGAAGAGGATGAGGCACATATCGGATCCTGCAGTTCTCTCCAGGAAGTGAGAAGGACTTTTGACTTTATTCCAATGAAATGTAAAGTATTTGAAAGGTGTTAAGCAGGGGAACTACCTGATCAGATTTAAATTTGTAAACCATCATTCTATCTGCTATGTGAAGGATGACGGGGAGAAAGCATGGTAGAGCTCCTGACCAAGATTCTACTCCCCAGCTCCCAGCCTCAGTTCTCTCCAACTTTTAAATCATAACATGTGCCATTCTAGATCTTACATAACATTTAATTTCTGTGCCAATTTTTAGAGTACCTGTTTACATACCACCTGATCAAATACTAACCATTTCCTATTTCAAATCCCCCTAACCTTTACTCTCTACTCTCTCTATTCTTATGTCCTGTATCCTTTTGTATATCTTCATGCTAAGTGTACAACAGGTATTCAGTGAATACTTCCTAAGTAGATTTAAGGCTAGACTAGCAAGTGTCTTTTAAGCTGTGGAACAGAGAACTGCCAAGACTCCTTTCTGGTGTGCATTTCCCTAGTAGACACCAAGCCTGTATTTTTAGAAGGAACAGTGATGGCCAATGGTGCATGTGAGAGGACTGAGGGTTGAGGCTATCGTCACTTTTGTCGAAGAAACAAGATTAGTTATGGTCACCTCCCATCATTCACCCCAACTATCTTTCTCCACCCGTGGACCTAACCCATGGCCTGTACTACACAGATATAAGTTGAGCTGTCCTCTTCTCCCCATTTCCACCCTAGAAGACTCAACTGTGAAGTTCACATAGTTTCCAAATAGCTAGAGGTTGCAAGGCACACCTATACGTTTATTTATCTCCTGAGTTTGAAATCAAATTTCTCTGTATTAAAAAACTTCAGTTAGGACATTGCTGCAGTCAGCAGTGTTGCCCTAAATTTTAGGGAAACAGACAAAATAATAGGGAACAAAGAGAAAAAGAACAGGAGAAAGCCTAGTGAAACTTCAAGTTTCACTAGTTTGCCAAGTTCATACCTTTGCAGCCAGCCGACACTCCATCACCCTGATATTGAAATGAGAAGTTGCTGCTTTATTCATTTCCACACAACTGTTGGCAATCACAAACACTGCTCCACTTGGGAGTTTCACATCAGTTGCCCTCAGAGGACTAAATTCTATTAACTTGGCCTATTGAGAAAAAAATGACAGGTGAGATACAATGTATTAGAATTCAGAAAATATTTAACCATTTACGCATTTATTTACCTTAGTAAAAATTTTTCCCAAAAATGCATCCATTTATTCATTCAAATATTATTTACTGACTTCCAGGCACTGTACTAGGCACTGAAGATACAAGAGTGAATGGGACAGACACTGTCCCTGCCCTCATAGAGATTACAATCTAGTGGGAAAGGCAGTCAAGTAGTCAAATACACTGCCAGGTGGTGTTAAAAGGGTAGCAAAGCACAGGGCACTATATAGAAACACAGTTGTAGCACCTGATCAGATATAGCCTAGTGTAGGTGCCCCTGAAAAAAAGGGAAATCTAAACTGAGACTTAAAGGATGAGCGAAAGTAGGACAGACAGAGGGTTTCTTTACCCAAACAGGATGTCAAGAAGAGGGAAGAGTATAAGCAAGTTCACAGGCAAAAAATAACATGAGGTGTTAATAGAGTTTTGGGTATTGCAATGTAGCTGGAGCTTAGTGTTTGAGGGATGAGCCATGGTGAGAGGATAGAACTGAGCGAAGGGCAGGTAAAGCAGGGGTCAGATCATGAAGTACTTTGCAAGCCCAAAGAATTTGGACTTTGTTCAGACTCTACAGCTAACTTATGTTAACAACAGGACTCTTGCCATCATGCCTGCTTGTCAGGTCTCATCCAAAAGACCCAGAGTATTTTCTTAGCATTAAACCAAATTTCCTCATGCCTCCTGTCTTTGGCTTAGGGGAATCAACAACAAATACTCTTAATAAGAAGAAATCCAGGTATTCTTGGAAAATAGCCAAACCTGTAGGAATCTGATCGAAAACTAAGGAATGATTTTAAAGAAATGTCTGTTTCTATTTTGGAAATGGTCAGTTTATGGCAACTATGAAAACCTCTGCTCTGTCTATGGGAGTTGATAACCAAGGGGAAGTGGTATTGGCTAAGGAATTCATTCCTGGCTTCCTGTCAACATTCTTTTCCCTACCACTAAAGCCCCAAAAATGTTGGCAGAGAAAAATGATACCATAGAGTAAATTACAAAAAAGAGGACGAGTGAATATATGTGGTAAGAGAACTAACATTTGGGTTTAAAACCAACAGGAGATTATGAAAATGCCATGAGACGAAATGATTTGGGACAAGAGCGAGAAAAGAGGTCCCAATAACTAGGGAGTTGAGAAATCGCATGCTAACAATGAATTAGAAGGATGGGGGGAAAAAAACCCTAGACACCTGAGGTATGATTCTGGAAGCTTAAGGGAGAGGTGATCAACATGAAACAGAGTCAGTGAACTGGTGATAGCCTTGAATTACAAAGCAGTTGAGAAATACCATCCTACAATAGAGCCTAAAAGAATAGGCTGCCCAGAAAAAAAAGCACTCTGGGGATCTCAAGGCCTTCCTCTCTGGGTGAACATTCCCTGGTGGGTATTTCCAAATAGCTCAATGCCACCTACAGTTCCTTCTTCTGCAAGAAATGATATGGACTGGTCCATCCCTCCTCCTTCAGTGCCAATGTAATGCTCACTCTTGGCGCAGATTTCTGCAAGTTCCACCTGGAAAAGTAAAAATTGATTTGCACTGTGAGTAAATCATAATCTATTGCTCATTCATTTCCTACTCCAGACATGACATATGGGTTTGAATTCCAGTGCAGCTCTGATCAACTGATAGTAGCTGCCTGCAGCATTGGGTTAACAAGAACTCCAAGACTACCATTAAGCTCAATAGGAAAACATACAAAGATCAATTAATGTCTGCTATGAGTTGGAATGAGATATTGACTGTGCATGTTGTGTACAGTCTCGTCCCGCAGTACCCATAGGAGATTCGTTCCAGGACCCCACGGGATACCAAACTCTGAGGATGCTCAAGTTCCTTATATAATATGTCAAAGTACTTGCACATAACCTATGCACATCCTCTCATATACTTTAGATAATCTCTAGATTACTTATAGTACTTAATACAATGTAAATACTACGTAAATAGTTGTAAATACAATGTGAATGCCGCGTAAATAGTTGCCGGTGTGCAGCGAATTCAAGTTTTGCTTTTTGGAACTTTCTGGACTATTTTTTGGAATATTTCTGATCCATGGGTGGTTGAATCTGCAGATGCAGAACCTGAAGATATAAGGAGGGCCGACTGTATTTGCTATCCCTAAAAGACTCCACAGGGCAAGCAGTGTCTCCTGGATTTGCTCCATTCCCTCTCTAGACTGCCATCACCAAATATCTCATATGGGCACTCACTCATTTCTGCCTCAGCTTTGTCTCCCAACAGTGGACTACTCCACAGTCTCCCCACAGCCAAAGTGAGGTCATCCAACCTTATTTTCCGGTCCAAAAGTAATGCTTCCTCTGTGGCTTTTCCATTAAATGTAAGAATCAGAACTAGTGTCATCTCATCAGACACACCTTCCTCCAATCAAGATGAAGAGGCCCAATACATTAACACATTTCTAATCCAAACTGAAAATGTCAAAATATCTATTTAAGAATCTTCTATGGCCTCCTATTCCTTCTATGGCTTCTTATTTCCTAGAAATAAGTTCAAATTCCTCAACCTGGCATTTCAAAGCTTTCCAAAATGTGCAACCAATTTACACATGAAATCATATTATCTACCACTCTTTTCCAATTATATTTGTCTCCATGACCATCTCACACATTTATGTAACCTGGTATTATTTCCTGTCTTCTCTCATATAAATCCTATTGCCATCCAATATCCGGCTTATTGGCTACCTACTATGGGCAAGTCCACTCAAATCTTCCTCCATCACACAGTCTTCCTCAAATACTGTTCCCACTACGGCATCCTGCTTCTCTAAACCCTCACAACACTAACAGTATAATCCACTTACCCTACTATTCATTCACTCATTCATTTTTTTTTTTCTTCTAAGACTTGATTCAAGCCTTTATTTCTTACCTGTTTTACTGGAAGATTCCCCTACAGTGATCATTGTGAAGCACTGATATAATCATCTCTTGCTTGCTTGGTTGCCAGTGCCTTGACGATCATACTTCTCATTGTGGTACACAACATCTCTAATGACTTATCCCTTGCTCACACCTCCATCCTGCTCTCTCACCACTAACCCCGTAAACCCTAGGCTCAGACCACTGGAAAAATGCTGTTCCTCGTCACCCCCAGGCTCTCTCAGTGCCTTTAAAACTGTGATTTCCTGTCCTCCTCACTCAGTACTCCTCTCTCCAGCATCCCCCACTCGTCATCAGGATTAACCCAAGTGTCACCTCTCCCTTGGAGCCCTCACCACCGCCCAAAGGCACACACACTCCACATAATCCCTCTTCTGTGCTCCCTGTATATAACTCTATGCTCATTTACCAAACCATGCTTTAAGTGTGGCCTTCCTTGTGTGTTTATCCATCAGTCTATGAGAGCCCATGCAGTGCCCAGACCAGAGCCCACTTAACTAATAAGACTGAATCACATAGTGTTCATTATTGCTCTTTAATAGTGTCAGGTTTCAATCACATCTATTTACCCCAGAAAATTGTCAGTCCTGTGAGAAACAGATAAAATAGCTGTTTCTTTTGTGTCCCCTACCTCACACAATGCTGAGCACAAAGTAAATACTCAAAAACAACCCGCTGCTTTCACTTTCTGAGAATAGCTGCCCAAACATCATTTGATAGATCCTGTAAGTGTCATATTCCTTGTTGGATTCACTAACATTAATTTTGCTTCATGACACGAGGTAAGCTTGGTATTTTGACGTAATGGGCATTGTGCGTGGCCTAATGAACACACCAGAACCAGCAATCTTCCATAATAGGCACATTAAAAATAAATTAGTAATCAAAAGGTCAAAACACTTGGATTTTAAAATGTAAAGAAACAATATACCCAGGAGAAGAAGTCCATGCACGATTCATGAGGAATGAGGAGATCTGGGTCCTTACATAACTGTGACAGTGGCCAGTGTGAAGTCACCTCCCCACAATAGCAGTAACAGTCATACTTACATGCTAAGTACCTGGCATTATCTCTCCTTTAGGCCTCCAAACAACTCTCTGCTTATCCTTATTATACACATGAGGAAAATGGGACTTGGAGACATAAACAGTGGAGAAGCCAGGATTTGAACCTCATCTGCCTGACTCCAAAGTTTGTGTTCTTTTCACACTGGACTTTTATTACTCCCCTACCCACTGCCAAATAATATAACCGAATAACATAGCCTATTTTTTTCACTACCTCACAGGGATGTGAAATGACAAATGAGATCACCAAAATTTAAGTACTCTCCCTCTTAAGAGGAAAGAAACTAAGGCATCGAGAAGTATATGCTTATTGTTTTTAAAAGCCTCTGAATGCGTGGCAACAATGGTATACTTTACCAGAAATAGGTTAATTTTTCCAGACTACCTATCTCCACGAAATTCAGAGGGACCCCAGGAGTCCCCAGCATCTCTGTGTCAAGGAGAGTCCATCTGCAGGGCTGCAGACATCCCTATACTTTGCTGATACCTCTCATGCTGAATTCTGACATGTGGATCTCATTACCGGACAGACAATAACCATGAGTTTTAAATGGAGGAAACAAAAAGAAAATGAAGATAAGAAAGATGAAGGAAAGGATGACTCATTTTACAGTCCCCCCGGAATGCATGAGGAACTCAGTGGTAAATATAGAGGAAAGAAACTAGTACCAGAAACTTCCAAATCTTGATTAAAGCCCCAACCCTCCTGCCAACGAGCTAGGTGACCTTAGATAGATTGCTTAACTTTTCTGAGTTTCCATTTCTTCATAGACTATTAATAACAATAATAGTTTTCACAGTTAGAATTTATTGACTACTTACTATATGCCAGGTATTGTTCCAATTGCTTTATATGAATTAATCATTTACTTCTCACAATGACCCTATAAGATAGGTATCTCCTCCTCATTTTACAGACAAGGAAACTGAGTGGGTTTATTAGTTGAGACTAGGCTAGTAATTACTAAAGCTGAAATTCAAACTCCACTTGTCTAACCCCAGAGCCCACACTCTTAATCACCAGGCTATATTACCTCCCATCCATAATATGGAGAAAAATACCTGCCTCCCTGGCTACGGGATTATTGTGATTATCCAGTGAATTAGATAAAAACATCCCATAAACTCTAATGAAGTATACAACTTTAAATTTCATTCTTTTTACAGAATGAATAAGGAATCATCTGATTTATACAAGTAAGTAGCTAAATCCCAAGCCAAATGTAAAAACAGGTTTAATTAATCTGGAACTCAGGACCATTTTTTGAACTGTGCAGGGGGAGTTCCCTAGTGGTTAGGATTCCAGGATTTCACTCTCATGGCCCTGGGTTCAATCCCTGTTTGGGGAACTAAGATCCCACAAGCCTCGAGGTGCAGTCAAAAAAAAAAAAAATTTTTTTTTTAACTGTTCAGGGAAAGAGAGAACTTAAAAGATTCTGGGTGTGCCTAAGAGAACCAATTCAACAATAAACTGTAATGGAGCTTGAGACAAACAGGAGAATGTGTGTTCCATTTAAAGCATCCCAGTCTAGGGCTTCCCTGGTGGTGTAGTGGTTAAGAACCCTCCTGCCAATGCAGGGGACACGGGTTCAAGCCCTGGTCCGGGAAGATCCCACATCCCGCGGAGCAACTAAGCCCGTGCGCCACAACTACTGAGCCTGCACTCTAGAGCCCCCAAGCCACAACTACTGAGCCCACATGCCACAGCTACTGAAGCCTGCGTGCCTAGAGCCTGTGCTCCGCAACAAGAGAAGCCACCACAGTGAGAAGCCCGCGCACCACAATGAAGAGTAGCCCCCGCTCACCGCAACTAGAGAGAGCCCACGCGCAGCAATGAAGACCCAAAGCAGCCAATAAATAAATAAAAATCTTTAAAAAAATAAATAAATAAAAATAAAGCATTCCAGTCTAAATTGGGGGGCAGGGGGAGGGGGGAGGTGGGCAGGGCGGAGAGGCGTGGAGGGGGGAGTCCCTGCCTGCCAAACAAAACATGCCTGTAGTATAAACTTCAACTGCAGGCCCACAGGCGGCTCCCCAGTGGCCCTATCCCTTCACCCCCATACTAAAAGCAAAAAGGTCAAATCCTAAATTGTTATGAGATGTGAAGAAACTAGACACAAAAGATTTTTTTCTAATTTCAAATCTTGTTTAAGGAAAAACTTGCATGCCTCCGACAATAAGCAAAAATCAGTGCTAGGCCCATAGCCTTAGCCAGGGATGGCATGACCTGAACTCAGAGAACAATTAATGGAGGGGCCTTAATAGCAGGGGATGTAAACGGGAGCAGAGAATGCCTATCATTCTGGGTGATGTGAGGGAGACATGTGAGCCTGCCTCACCCTTTCTATCCTTGCGGACACTGGAAATAGAACCGTAAAATGTGCTCCAAGAGTTATAATCAGGCAGAGTGACGTGCAAAGACACTGAATACTCCATACACACTTGAATTATGTAAAATATCAAGAGATTTCATGAGAATAAGAAGGAGCTGTTGAAAACACATTAACAAGAGTGTATGGAAAGAAGCCTATCGGAAGTTA